TTCAGGGTGACCGCGAGGGTGGGTAAGGTAGCATACCATATGGAGCTACCCGAGGAGTTGAGTCAGATCCATGATACCTTCCATGTATCCCAGTTGAGGAAGTGTATAGTCGATAAGACGGCGGTTGTGCCGCTAGAGGATATTCAGGTGGACGCGAGTTTGAATTACATTGAGAGGCCGATCGCGATCTTAGATCGGAAGATCAAGGTTCTGAGGAATAAGGAGGTGCCCCTGGTTCAGGTCCAGTGGCAACATCGGAGAGGGTCCGAGCTAACCTGGGAGCCGGAGATGGAGATGCGGGAGCAGCATCCAGATTTGTTTGCAGAGTGAGACTTCGAGGGCGAAGTCTGATTCTAGTGGGGGAGAATTGTAACATCCGGACTTCCAGGTATCATAATTTAAATATTTATTTTGAGTTGAGAAGAGGGACTCGACGAGTTGACGCCTAGACTCGTCGAGTAGGATCGCGATTGATGACTCGGATTAATGAACGGACTCGACGAGTCCGCGCTGTTGGCAGAAACCCTAAATATTTGGGCCTGAGCCCTATTTAAAGCCATTTATAGCCTTCAGTTGCGGCTACCTTCCCAGAAGAAAGAACCCTAGCATATTTGAGTGTGTGTAGTGAGAGAGAGAGAGAGAGAGAGAGAGAGAGAGCCATCTTGAACCATTTGTTGTGATTTTGCTAAGGAGGAGAAGAGATCCAGCAAGAAGGACCAAAGAAGGTTGTTGTTCTGAGGCTTTCAAGCAAGGAGGCTTCACTTTGAGGTAGCAATTTGGCCCTTTTCTTCTTTATTGTGTAGGCTTCTTGAATCAAGGGTTTCTTTACCCTTTCTTGAGATCCCAATGTGAAATAGACCTTAGATCTGGACCTTGAGAGGTCCAGAGAGCCCCAAACATCCAGCTTTATGCAGTCCCTTTTTGGGTTTTAGAACATGGTTGTCATATTAGGGCTAAATCATCATATAGAGCCACATGAGTGTTGCATGAGCATAAAGTTTGGACCTTTACGTAACTTTTGAGTGTTAGAAGGCCATATCTATAGGTTAGAGAAACAGATATGACCTCAGAAGGTCGTTTGAGCATTCTCATGGAAGAAACTCGCCGAGTCCATGAGCGGACTCGACGAGTCGGATCGTGTTGCACCACGATTTGTGATCAGTGGTAACCCGTTCAGAGAAAGGTTAACTCAACGAGTCGAGTGAGGCCTTAGGAGGATTCAGAGGACACGCACGGACTCGCCGAGTCACCCGAGTGCACTCGACGAGTCTGGTCAAAGTTGGACCGTTGACTGAGGTTGACTTTTAGGGTTTGGTCAACATTTGGACATTGGACCATTGGAGGGGTAAAATGGTCTTTTTCCCTTCTGGGAAATTATAGGAAGGGATTAGTCTAGCCTATGAGAATCGTGTTAATAAGAGATAAAGTACTTTATATGATTAGGCAGAGGCTAGATCGGGGATATCGAGCACGAGAGTTTACTAGACATCATACGAGGTGAGTTTTCTCACTATACCTTACCTAGAGTGGTAATTATGTGTGACCAGAAGGTCTTATGTGCTATAACGAGTATGTGATATATGTTTTTATGTTTCTATGTATGTGTTATGTATGTATTGAGTAAGAATGGTATGGACCAGAAGGTCAGTATGGTATGGACCGGAAGGTCAGCAGTGTATGGACCGGAAGGTCAATATGGTATGAACCGGAAGGTCGAAAGAGTAGGACCGGAAGGTATACTCAGATTGTGGAACCGGAAGGCCCCTGAGACACATTGATCGGAAGGTCTCGTAGAGCTACAGCCTCGAGTGGCTTATGTGTTGTATGTAGTATCTTGGGGAACTCACTAAGCATTTATGCTTACCGTGTTATGTGATATGTGTTTCAGGTACTAGCGAGGATCGCGGGAAGGTGCCGGCGTGATCTGTACACACTGATAGAGGATTATGTATTTGAGATTTTGGGATATGTTTTATTATGATGACATTTGATACACGGGATTTTGAGAATATTATATGAGTTTTATTATGTGGAAAAATGAAAAATTGTTTTATAATTTACGTCATTACACATCATATAATCAGGCAATTCTATCATGCAATTCCTGAAGATCCCTAGCCTATCTCTAGCATGTTGTTCTAACATATCACATAATCAAATAATTGTATGGTATTTTGGGGTCTACTCATTGGCTCCGGCTGATCGTACACCCTGCATCCTCCTTTACTTATTTGAAAACCATTTTAGAAATCATTTTTGAAAACCTTTCCTTGATTTGAGACTGGATTCACACTCATGTTCCTCCAATTCACTCAAACCAAGGCTCTGATACCAACTTGTAATACCCATAAAAATGAGACCAAATTTAAACTTTTCAAAACATTAAAGATCCATTAAGGATTACAAATTCGTTTTCCAAAATAGTTTATATCAGAGTTTTTCCCCAGAACCATAAACAAAACAGGAGGAGCTGTACGATCATGCCTTCGCCTTGTCGCGATCCCCTGATGTGCCTGAAACAATAAACTGAAATTGTAAGCCCAAAAGCTTAGTGAGCTCCCCCAAAATACCGATACACTGCACATAACACACAAATAAGCAACAACATGTACTGGGTCCACAACTTTGCAGACTGGATCACCCCTGAGCCCACAGTGTGAGTCTAGATTGCCTTACGGGCCCACAGCTCACATCTGGATTGCCATCGAGCCCATAGTACGAGTCTCCCTTAGCCCGTAACTGGAATGCTCTCGGGTTTGTTGGTTACCGCACGGAGCAGTATCACCTCAACCCATCCCACATAACATATCAACATATAACATAACTACTGAGCATGCAGATATTCATATAACAACACAGGTAGGACTACAGATCTACCTAACTGGCATAACCACTAGCATGCAACACTAACTCATACTCAATATAACCACTGCTAGGATAACATATCCAATGGGCCGGCCTTGGTGCCTTAGACCCCTTAGTATAGTGAGGATAATTCACCTTGCGACTGCCGACTGGAAATAGAACGCTCAACTCTCGAATCACCGCCACGAACCCCACCACCTATACCCAACACATCTTAAGGTTTATAAATTCCTGAATATCCCAGAAGTCAACTGGTCAACCCTTGGTCAAGGTCAAAGTCAACTGTCAAGGTCAACAGTCCATGTTGACCTCAACTCGTCAAGTACCATCAACTACTCGCCGAGTTTCTTGCAATACTTGTCCGCTCGCCGAGTCACCATAATGACTCGTCGAGTTCCTAAGGTTCGTGGTCGAAGCTCCACGGCCACCCATCGGGTTTTCCTTCTTGCAACTCAACAAGTCCACACGCATCCATTATTTGGGAAACCTTAACTGACTCGCCGAGTTGTTCATCCAACTCGTCGCGTCTACGACAATCTTCATCGGACTCGCCGAGTTGTTCATCCAACTCGTCGGGTCCATGCCCATCTTCATATGACTCGCCGAGTCGACCATGCGGCTCGCCGAGTCCCTTCAGTCCTTTAACCATACAGACACTTTTTAAGCCATGCCAAGGCTCCAAATTGCAGATCCAACTTCCTTAGGCATGCTTATCACGTAAAGTTACAAACTTTACGTGCATGCAGGGCTTTTAAGACCCTAAAATGACAAAACTAAGCTTGCAATGAAGTTACACACTTGAGGGAAGGCTCATACTAGGCAAAGCTGATGACTTTATGAATCTAGAAGCCACGGGGAGTCCAGATCTGAAGTTACAACTTCAGATCTTGGCTTAAGCACAAGAAACCTTTCTTAAAACTCATGCAAAAGAGGGTTTAGGTGAAAATGAGCCAAGGAGAACGGTCAAGTACCTTCAAGAGAGTGCTTACTGATGCAGATCTTGAATCCCACGAGCTCTTGCTTCAACTAGCTTGTTTCCCCAAGTGTTTCCTTCACCCAAAATCCTTCCTCCACGCTCAAACTCTCCAAAAGAACACACACACACGACTTAGGGTTAAAGAGGGACAAGAAACAGTAAAGGGGAGGCTGGGGGAGGCCAATGATCCTTTAAATAGGGTGAAATGCCCCGAAATTTAGGGTTTCATCTGCCAGCTCCTGCTCGTCGAGTCCCTTCTTGGACTCGGCGAGTAGGTCACTAAAACGCGTGGACCATCCCGCTACTACTCGACGAGTAGGGCGACCAACTCGTCGAGTAGACCCATAGACCAAGAAGGATTCATACATAAATCAATACCTGAGAATCGGGGCGTTGCAACTTAAGAAGAGAAATGGGAGGATACGGAGGGAAAGTGAGGGTGTCGAAGGAAAATCGTGTTCCCGAGTTTCATTAATGGAAGGAAAGTGAGGGGAGGGGAAGGATTTTGGAGCCATATTTTCCTTCCAAATTTTCCTCCCAAATTGGGCGGATTTAGGAAGAAAGTGAGGGGAAGGAAAATTTCAAGTTTTATTTTCTTTTTCTTCCTAACTCGGGAACACAAAACTTAAAATTTTCCTTTCATTTCCTTTCATTTCCTTCGAACTCGGAAACACGGAATAATGAATATTTTCCATCACCTCCCTTTCTTTCTGTCAAAATTTTCCTTCCCTTTCCTTTAATGAAGTTGCAAAAAAAAAACTCGGGAACAAGGCGTAAAGCAAAATCATCACCACCACCAGACACCGCGCACCACCATAGACCACCGCGCACCTCCACTGGACCACCACGCACCACTGTCGACCACCACTTCTTTGTCTCTCAAAAAAACTATCGACGACCCATTATTCCCTCCTTCTCGGTGTTCCTTAAGTCATCATCATCGACCTCCAGGTCCTGTAGAAATACCAGCTAGAGTAATCACCTCTTCACAGATCTACACTCCAGGTGGTGGTAGATTCATTTTTTTTCACAGAGGTTAACAATTGCAGACTTTATTTTTTCAAGGTTGAAACTCTGTTGAGTTGTATTCAACACAAAACCCTCTCCCTCTCGTAATACTCCGGCGGAATGTACCTCAGATCTAGGGTTTCAAAATGAGATGGGGGTGAAGCTAGGGTTTCAAATGGAGATGGAGGAGAAAAAAGCAGATCATTTGTTCCATTTTTTTCAGGTGAGGGTGAGGAAGAACACAATTATGGTGGTGCGCAGACGAAGGGTGATGATGATTTCGAATGGAGATGGAGGCGACAATGATTGTTGCGACGATGGAAGAGAAAGAAAGAGAAGATATGTGGTCGTGGTTGCCAGCAGCTTCATGGTTGCCGGCGACTTCATGAATGGTGTGTAGAGGCGGCAAACGGAAAACAAAGAGGGAGTGTTGGTCTTCATCTGGTTACCTGGTTTTCAATGATGTAGAAGGAAAAGGGGAAAACGAAGGGGAAGGGGGAGCCAGAGGGGTGGGTTGATGAGTGGGTTTTTTAATTTTTTTTCTTTTTTTTTAAATCTAAACAAATGATAAATGAATAATAAAAAAAATAATAAATTATTAAGGGTAAAAGAGTAATTTTATGTCTGTAGGGACGACCCGAGTGAAAAAATAATTATTCAGGGACGGTCTGAGTTAATTTTTGAAAATAGGGTCTGAACGTGCTTTTTGACACCTTGACTAGGGACGATTCGTGTAATTTACTCAAAAAAATGATTAAAATGTTGGCGGAGTCACCAAGAAAAAACCTTTTGGGTTTGTAACCAGAACCTATGAGGTTGAACCCAAGAAACCGGAGAACCGTTAAAATCGACTCCAGAACCTGAGAAACCGAATAGACCAGAAACTGACCTTATTAGGTTTCAACAACTAGAAACCGACCATTTTCGGATTGGGTTAAGTTTGGGTCTAAAACCAACCCAAACCGACTCATGCACAACCCTAATATTACGTTGCATACTTGCATATGATTATAAAAATATATATTGTTACAATAGTCATCTAAAATATTTAAATATAACAAGTTTAAAAGTTCGTACACATTAAAAAAATCAACCTAAATAACTTTCAACGCCTTTTTTATGTAGCTAAAAGTTTACTCAAACATATTTGATCAACCGACATGAAACCTAACCAATTAAAAATAGATAAGTTAATCTGTCATATAATAGAAAGAAAATCTAATGTGCTGATTTAAGACCTCAAAAAATTCTCAAAGTAAAGCCTACATGATACAAATACAATGATATATTATTTAAATATATATCTGGAAAAAGACAAGAACTGTTTTGGACCCTTGATGAACGTCGACCGATATAAAGTTGAATTAAGATATTAAATGTACGTTGTCATCATTAACAAATTATTTGCTAGGCATGTGACGAGTGGTTTCACACTTTCACTTCTTCTTGAATGAATTTGTATTTGTATGTCATGTGTATGTATTATAAAATTAGAATCATACCCTCTTTGTCGCCACCTCCCACATCTGCTACCATAAAAACATGCACCTTCATTTGTAAAACGAGGGAGCCTATTGATGAACACAACTCTTTTCACAAAAGAAACGTTTATTTCGATTTTTATTTTCAAATGATATTTTAAAATTTTGATAATAAGATTTAATCCATATTAATTGTTTACGATGTCAAATTTTTTGATAATGCAAGTATTCGAATTATTCCTTCAATTCATCTGTCAAAATTTTAAATTGCTCAACATTCAAATATCATCTCTTAATTTTCAAACTCCTATGAGTATTGAAATTTCTCAATGTTTGTTGGTTGTTTATGACATCTCGATTTTGATAAAATAGTAGCTTGGAGCTTTATCGACAATGCTAACATGGGAATTGACAATCATTTCCCACATAAACCCATGGGCGCATGTATAAGGTTGGAACTTGGAAGGGCATGCACTTGCATATCTTTAAAAATTGATTATTAGGTGTTGCTATATTTACATTGCAACTTTGGCTATAGTTAGACAAAAATAATTGGAAACTAAAGTTTTTAGTTGTATACAGACTATTCGTTCCAAAGTGGTTGAAAATTTTTAAAACATATAAAATTACATAAAATGATTTATCTAAATTCACATCATTGATTTAAAAAAAGAATAATTAAGTCAATTTGCAAAATTATATAATAGTTTTTTGTTAAAGGCTACTTGAAGTATCTTTAGAATTTGAAGTTTTTTGATTTAGTTAAAAGCTAGAAGCTCATACTTCGGAACGAAATTTTTTTTCCGAGTTCTTTCTTAAAAACTAAAATAGGCTTATAATATATATTTTTTCTATCAACCAAAATAGGCTTATAATATATATTTTTTCTATTAAAGCCCAATAAACAAATTACATCATTCCAATCAACCAAAATAGGGTTATAATATATATTTTTTTCTATCGACGGAAAGGTGTTATAAACCCCCAAAATCAATTTGTTTGAAAAAGCACATTAAACATTACAAGCTTTTAAAGATGAAAAACACCAATCATGTCAATTTAAACTTTTAAAGTAAAGAACTTTGTGATGGGTTTACTAGACATCTATACATATAAATTAGGCAACGAAAGCATTTATAACAAACCCTAAATGTGCATGCACCCTAAGATCTATGTTTTACTATTATGATAACGTACTTTCAAAAGTAGCATTATAAACTATAGAAAATGATTCATTTACTAACCTCTTAACAAATCGATTTTTTCTCTTGAACACTTGAAGAAATCGAACCCCTTGTTACTTTTGGAAAGACTAGCATCCAAAGTAAAATGTATCTAATGGCTCACACCTAAAAAGGCTAAAAACACTAGAACTTTATGAAAGAGAGGAGAGAGGTTGAGAAATCCGATTTCTCAATCTAGAGGAGAGTAAAATCCGTTTTTCTAAGGCCTAGAGGGGTCTCTATATAACTATGGTATTTAGCGGATAAATATGATTTGAATTAATTAAATAATCAGATTTAATCCTGATTCAAATTCTTATCATTATCATCGATCTAAAAGATTCTGGAAGCCTTCCAGAACCGTCCACCATAATGGAGTTCCAAAATATTATTGTTTTTCAACTATTAAACAATTACTATTTAGCCCATGTACCTTTAAATTAATTCCAAATTAATTGTAATTAATTTTAACTAGTTTCAAAATTATTTATTAACTTGTAATAAATTAATAAACTATTTATCTCAATCTCTCAAATTAGTTCTAGATACTTTAGTGTTTGAGGGCAACCCAAAGAGGACTTTGTTATTATTCCCAAAGTTATAAAAATTAGTTATGACATTGGACACATCTTTCCAACAGTCTCCCACTTGGACAAGTCAATAACTACTATTGGTCAAATACTTTTTGAATAACCAACAAAGCGTGCATTCCACAGCAACTGCCAAACTCTGATCTTATCAAAAGTCAACCCTTAGATAAGTGATCAATTACTCATTTGCTTCTACAAGATATCATTGTGAACTGAGTCATGGATAATGAATCAAACTAACAGTTCAACTTTTAGTTTCTCGGTTTTCGATTTATGATGATCAAATCAGACTACAAATTGAACACATCAATTCAGTACGGGCCAAGACTAGCACTTTAATGTCATCGTTAAATCACTGATGGGCCCACGATATCGCTTTTCCCACTAAGGCGAAAAGTAACAAATAAACTTCGACTATATAGTTTTTATCTTCTCATCAAATCATCCATAGACTTACCCGTTATGACTACCAGTTACGGAGTTGTTCAAACAAATGGGCACGAAGTTAAATTTCTCTACTAGCTTTCATCCCCAAACTGATGGACAGACGGAGAGAGCGAATGCCATACTCGAGCTATACTTGTGATACTATGTGAGTGCTAATCGAAGAGATTGGGTTAGGCTTGTTGATATAGCCTAATTCTCTTATAATATGCAAATAAGTGAAGCCATGGGTCAAAGTCCCTTCAAGATTGTCACGGGTGACAACCTTTGACCCCGAATGCTTTAGCCGCAATTTGTGAGGGAAGTAGCCGTGCTGCTTATAAGTCGGCAAAGGAGTGGCATGGGCAAACATATATGGCTCGAACGACGTTAGACAAAGCAGCCAAGAAAATGAAGAAATGGGTGGATAAGAACAAAAGGCATGTAGAATTCGAAGTTGGAGACGGGTCATGGTGAAACTTCTGCCACAACAATTCAAGACATTGAGGAAAGTACATAAGGCTTGGTGCGAAGATACGAAGGACCATTCGAGGTGATCGGAAGAGTGGGAAAAGTTTCGTACCGACTTGAACTCCCACTCAAGTTGAATATTCATCCGGTTTTCCATGTCAGCATGCTCAAGCCGTGTTACGAAGACTCAGAAGATCCCCAACGAGGAATATCGAAGCGTGCACCAACATCGTTTGTTACGTCTTTCGACCGCGAGATTGAGGAGATACTTTCGGAACGAACTATACGAAAGCGGGGAGAGCCGAGCTTCAAAGAATACTTAATCAAGTAAAGGAATTTACCCGATAACGAGGCGAGTTGGGAGTCCGAAGACTTACTATGACAATTTCAAGACGAGATCAAGAGACACTGGGATGCAAGCGTGAAGAGGACGTCACGAAAATAGGTGGGGGAGAATGTAACGATCTGCCTTATTTATATAGTTTTTCTAATTATTTTACCTCTAGAGTAGTCTTTTCTAGAAAGATTCTAGAAGATATCTAGAAACTCCATGGAAGGCTCATGAAGAGACATCTTCTAGAAACATTCTAGAAAATGTCCCTTAGTTCCTAGTAGTTTTTGTCTCTTGTATATATATGGCTCTTCCATTTCATTTCTCCTCACCTTGTAAATCAGTTGAGTTCTCTAGAGTAATAAAGAGCTTTCGAGTGTTGAGTCGCTTTCTTCCTTTCCTTGTTCCTGTGTTGGTGTTTCGAGCTAGGCTGACTTAGGCCTCGTTTGATAGACATCTTTCCAGATCCAAACAGATCTTTCTGGCTGAATGGACCGGAAAGACCGTTTGATATGCATAAAAAATGGGTCTTTCCCGGTAAGATGTGTCTTTCCCAGAAAGTTTCAAAACCATATCTTTCTGTCTAAATAGGTTGGAAAGACAATTGTGTCATAAACTCTGCCCTCTTTCTTTCTTGTATTATTAATTTCTTTTAAATAATCTTTTAATTTCTTTCTTATTTAATTATTATACATTAATAAATATTATTTTAATATATAATATTTATGTATTAATTAATATTATTTTATTAGATTATTAATTTCTTTTAAATAATTCTTTTTTATTTCTTTTTAATGGATTATTATATATTAAAAAATATTATTTATAAATATATAATACTTATATATTAAGAAATATTATTTTATTGGATTATTAATTTCTTTTAGTTAATTTTTTTAATTCATTTTTTTTCAACACTACCAACATCCTAATATATTTTGAAAAAATCCATCCATCCCACCACTATCGGACATAAACCGAGTCAAGAATCACATGTTGAGTTATAAAAAAATTAATTGTTTGAAAGAATAACAACGTAAAATTAAATTGAAAAAAAAAACTAAAAACAACTTAATCGACAATCTATTTTGAATTTAAATGATTATTATGTAATTTTGATTTTGTATGACAATTTGTATGTTTTTATAATTATTCAGCAACTTCATCCATCACAGTGAACAGCAGGGTAATATTGTCATTTTTTATCATTCAGTACAGTCAATCGGATGTACAATCAAACAACATGGTTTCTTTTCCAGTCAGAAAACTTTCTCATACAACACTTTCTCAGACAGCACTTTCCCGGACAAAAACTATCAAACGGGGCCTTAGTTTAAGAACTAAGTGCCGCCCGATGAGCTTGAAGAGTCAAGACCGTGACAATAGGCATTGCAAAATGTGTTGAATGGGTTGGGTCGAATCCACATAGTCCAAAATGGTCTCTGGAATGACCCATTCAGGATAAGATGGTTATTTTGAAAAAAAAAAATCAAATTGGTTATTTTTTATAAAGACTAATATAAAAGTGGTTAGTTTACTTAATTTTCCTAATTTCAAAAGTAAATGAATCATTTTTTTCAAACGGGAGAACCGTATAATTTTCTTAATTTTTTTATACAAAACCCAAGATTCTTAGGTAGTATTATTCGTTTATCATCATATTTAATCTACTCTAATAAAATATTTTTTTTTCACATGTCACACTCTCATTTATTTTGCTAAATGTTATTTTAAATTTTTTTTTTCACATGTCATTTTACGATTTTTTTTTTATTTTATTAAACTTCATATAATATTTAAATGTCATTGTTGTAATAAATATAATAATAAATATATATCAAATTCATTAATGTAAATTTTTTTTAATTTTTAAATTTGTAAACTAAAGCTCAATTATTTTCCTTATTTAATTATTTAAATTATTTATTTAAATTTCAATATTTCAATATTTTTTTATTTTTTATTTATAAACTCAAACTCCTAATGTATATTTAATTTTCTTTAAATAAACCGATATGTAACTATTGTATATACCCGTAAAAAGAATCTTTATTTTTTTACTATTACTGTTGATGGGATTGACGAGCCTTAAGTCGTGTAGAGAAATGAGTTTTGAAAGTTGAAGACTTTCTTTCTTATTTCTCTTTCTCCACCGCATCTTCATCTCACTCAACCAAACATCAAGCTGAAGTAAAGCATAAATCAGATTACAAATTCAAAAAAAAAAAAAAAAACGAGTTCAAACAAGATTGCAGGAAAGGATTTGAAGGAACAACAAACAAAATCTCACAAGACCCATAATAACATTTGGTAATTTTTCACCCATCATTCTAGTTTGTTGACGCCTTATTTCTGATGTTTAATTATGTTTCTGTATAGCTGTTTCCTCCATTATGTGGTCATACGGATGTGGATTTGACGTGTATGTTCTGTTTTAATTACATTGCATGTATAGTTTAACCCTTTTGAGCTGAAATGAAGTTCATCTGTTTTGCTCTCAGTTTCTTATTCATTACTCCGATTTAATTTCATATTCCCGATGTATATGCAGATTTCAAATGGTTTTGCTAAATTTTTGTAATTATCGAGGTAACTGCTCAAAAATTAAACTTACTTTACCATAACGAACTTTTTCTCCCCCTTTCCAATTTAGTTTTGGCTTTATTTTCCCATCGCTTGCCGTTTTATAAAGATCCATACGCTCAAATTGGCAAAGATAATCCCTTCTTTCTGATGCATATCAAGTGTTTGCATATTTGCTTGAAAGAAATGTATACCTAATGTCCTAATCTATTTTCCGATTCTTATGCTTGTGATAGTGATTGGAATTTTGTTTTTGTAGATGCATTGTGATTTCTAACAATACCCCCCACAAAGGGCAATTTGACAGAATCTTAAAACCATGGTTCTGGGGTTGAGGTCTAAGCACAGAAAAGATGGATCAATTCAAGTAAACTATCTTGTTCATGTACAAGAGATTAAGCCTTGGTCTTCACCAGTACAATTTCTTGATCCAAGTCAATGTCTATCACTAGTATGGGAAAATGGTGATCAAATGTCTGGTTATCTTTCCCCCACTCTTATAGATTCCAAAATCGAGTTCAATCAATCTTTCATACTTCCATTAACCTTACGTAGAGATAAAAGGGATCGCGATAAGTTTCAAAAGAATTGTCTGGAGTTCCACTTGTATGAGCCTCGAAAAGATAAGCCAAATAAAGATCAACTTTTAGGGTCAGCTATAGTTAACCTTGGTGATTATGGGATCATTGAAAACATTTTGAGTGTTAGTGTCCCAATCAGCTCTAAAAAGAGTTCTAAATCTGTAGCACAACCGGTTTTGTTTCTTAATATACAATCAAATGACAAAGACGAGACTAATTCATCAAGTAAAAGTAGCTTATCAAAGCAATCATCAATGGAGAAGTATGGGCAAGAGTCTGCTTCAGAAGTAACAAATGATGGAGAACTTGGAATCGCTTCTTTCACAGACGATGATGACGATGATGATGATGCTGATGATGATTCTAAACATTCATCATACCAAAATAACAAGGTACCCTTGTGCACTATATTTTTCTTCCATTTATATGCTTGATATGATATCTTTATCAAACTGAAGTTGTTGCACTATTGCCAGTTCCATAAGTAACTGAGGTTGGAATGCAGGATTCCATGGAGGGCACGAAACAAGGTAATGGAAAGCACCCTGTTCTTCCCTTGGGAATGGAATCAACTTCAAAGCATCCTGAAAGGAGTATGACTTCAGTTAGAAAAGAACCTGCTTCCCCATTTCTTCAATCATCTTTTTCAACCATGGGTTCTCAAAATAAGACAGGAGAGCCCAAGACTCGCATGAGAATCTTGGAACCTAAAAATGGAAGCCATGGGGTTCAAGAAGATAAAGAAGGCAATCCACCTCCTGTTATTACCAATTCTGTTAGTAAAGTTGCATCTTTGCATGAACAAAGTGGAAACTCTGAAGCTACTAAAGAGGATATGAGTGAACCAGAAAGTGGGCAGGGTGAAGAGAAAAAGCAATTCTCAGAAGACAATCTTGTTGGTAAGTTTTTAGCTTCAAGAAAGCAAGATAAGTTAAGAAGCAACACTCTTGTGTCTAGTAGAAAAACACCTGGAGGACAAGGACAAGGGCAAGGGCAAGGGCAGGGAAGTAATAAACTGAAGCATTTGAAGTCTGTTCAGATACCGAAATCCGGTGGGATTTCTGGAAATGGAATTCCTCCTGCTAGCCCAAATAGAGATAAAGATAAAGGTGTAAAGAGTGAGTCAAGTGGGGTTTCAAAAAGTGAAGAAAGGTCAAGAATAGAGATGCTTGAAGAAGAACTTAGGGAAACTGCAGCTATTGAGGCTGGACTTTATTCCATAGTGGCTGAACACGGGAGTTCCACTAACAAAGTACATGCTCCTGCCAGACGTCTCTCTAGATTCTATTTACATTCTTGCAAACAAAATTTACAAGAAAGAAGAGTAAATGCAGCTAAAGCTATTGTCTCTGGACTAGTTTTGGTTTCCAAATCATGTGGAAATGATGTTCCAAGGTTCGTGTTAATGGGAGTTGAGACTTCCACTACACACATCTAACCAACTTTTTTTTTTTAAAAAAAAAAAAAGATAAAATTTTCAAGATTTGGTGTGCTTCATTCTGCAGGTTAACTTTCTGGTTGTCAAATTCAGTCATGTTGAGGGGGATTGTCTCCCAGAGTGTTGGAGATTCTCAATCCAAAAACAAACATGGTTCAATCAAAGTACCTGATAACTGGCGGGACCCACAAACATTCATTGTTGCATTAGAAAAGGTTGAAGCTTGGATGTTTTCAAGAATCGTTGAGTCCGTTTGGTGGCAGGTAGCATTCACCCTGTAATTATGTTATATGTATAGCTCTTTTGGTTGACTTTGGTTTGACTTGACTATCTGCAGACTTTGACTCCACATATGCAAGCATCCTCCACAAATGCAACCGGAAAAATGATGGGTTTGAGTTCAAAGAAAACATCTGGAAGTAAAAACGGTTTGGGTAATCAACAAGGGAACTTATCTGTTGAGCTATGGAAGAAAGCTTTCAAAGATACTTGTGAAAGATTATGTCCTACACGAGCTGGAGGCCATGAATGTGGTTGCTTACCCGTGTTGCCAAGATTGGTATGATTTAACTAACATTTACTTCAAAGAGGGGTAAAATCGTAAATTTTCACATTTCCAATGTTGGTTTGGTTTTAGGTGATGGAGCAGTTGGTGGGTAGATTGGATGTTGCAATGTTTAATGCAATTCTTCGTGAATCAGAAGAAGATATGCCTACAGATCCGTTATCTGACCCCATTGGTGACTTGCGGGTCCTACCTATTCCTGCTGGAAGATCAAGCTTTGGAGCTGGTGCTCAATTGAAAAATACTGTGAGTTTACGTTTGACCTTGAAAGTCAAAGTTTAGACCTAACTATGAATGGTGTGTTATCTATGTTACTAGATTGGGACATGGTCTAGATGGCTAACGGATCTGTTTGGTATTGAGGATAACGACTCTCATGAAGAAGAAAATGATGATACGAATTTTAAGGCTTTTCGATTACTTCATGCATTGAGTGACCTCATGATGCTTCCTTTTGAAATGCTTGGAGATAAGTCCATAAGGAAGGAGGTACTTAAATTCATTTGATTTGATTATTTACTCGTTTTTAGCCTAATAATGTCTTATAGATTCTTTTTATTTTTTTATTTTTTAGGTTTGCCCAACATTTTCTACTCCATTGATCAGAAGGGTTGTTTGCAGTTTTGTGCCAGATGAGTTTTCTCCTAACCCAATTCCCAATTCCCTTATTCAGGCCCTTGATGCAGAGGTTGGTAATATATGCATTATTACGAATTTGCCCTTGGTTTTTTTTCTCAAATATTTTTTGAACAGATACAGGATGAGGAAATCGAGGCTTTTGATGGGTCCCACTCCCAGATACACTTCCCATGCATTGCACCTTCATCAACTTATACACCACCTCCATCGCATTCACTTTCTGGTGTAATCAACATGGAAGGAGCCCAATCTTTAAGGAGAAGCTCATCATCCGTGTCGGTGCTGAAGAAATCATACACAAGTGATGATGAGCTTGATGAGCTTGACTCACCTTTGACCTCAATCATTACAGACAGTTCCAGGGTTTCCTCAAGTTCCAAAGGACCTCAGTGGGTCCCCAAGGGTGGAAGGAGTATTGCCAGATATCAACTCCTTCGTGAAGTATGGAAAGATGGTGAATAGATTGTGACATTTTTTTCTTTAAAAGTTTAGTTAAGGATACTGCTTTTATCTTGTTTTTTTTTTGGTTATATAGCATGAGAGATGTTTGTATCAGAATAAGTTTTCTTGCATTTCTTTTGAAATACAATCCTTATTACCACTAGAAACTCTTGTTTGATTGTGTCACTACGTGCTTGTCCTAGCAGTAAAGATCATCTATAATCTATAAGGGAGGTCTATTCCAAGAAAAGATAAACATAATAACAGAATTTTAGTAACCTATGTTCATATGAGATTTTAACATAAAAAAACTGGCAAAACTTTGATTTCTCGGTTAATGGGTTTTAACCCATTTTCCAGTAAATGTAAACAACCTATCAAAGTAACTCATATTCTTTTCCAACCATTTAAAACAATCAAAAACACCAAAAATCAACTAAATTGTTCATGGAAATAGTCCATTACAACCAAAAGTTCAAGGGAGAATTTCGTTCTTAATCTCTTAAAATATCGTATTTGACCAAAACCTATTTTTTTAGTAGTTTTTAATATTTAATAATCCTTTTTTTTTATATATTTTAAAATCTTAAAAAAAATGGACGATTTTGCCCTTTACTCCTAAAACGCAGGAAATCTTGACAGTTTTACGCTCTGCCCTTCTTCCCCAGGATCGTCCTTGTTCAGTCTCCCGTTTGTCTCTCACCAGATTTGTTATTTTAGTCGCTAATAAGCACCAGGTATGCTCTTCCTCATTTGTCCTTTTTGGCAACATAATCAACCAAGAGAAAAGTATTACTCTAGGAAACTGATTTGAGCTGATTAATTGGTACTATTGTCTTTTGAGAATGCGTGATCAATTACCACTTTGACTACTTTCAGCATTTTTACCCAACACTGCAAAAAACAAAACGATCCTCAAAATGCAAGACAAAATAAGATAGGAATTAACGAAATCATTGAGGTAGCCTTTTCTTCCATTTACAATAAGCCTTCAGTGTACTTATAAGAGCAGGGCCGGCCCAAGAGGGTGGGCATGCTGGGCGACCGCCCGGGCCTCGCCAAATCTTGGGGCCCCCAAAATTTACTATCAATATATATATATATATATATATATATATATATATATATATATATATATATATATATATATATATATATATATAGGTTTAGAGGATATAACTTATAATATGCAACAAAAACCACAAACTGATTCTAGTTGAGATGGTTCAATCGAATGGCAATTTTAATCCACGAGAAGATGCCTGTGTTCGAACCTCTCTCGTTATTATTACTGTTCTTGTATTCCAGAGGTAAAGTGGTAAACGAGGGGTCGCTTGCAACCTTAAAAATATTCCTTATTTTTCATTCATAGCAATTAGCAGACTGAAAACAGCAAATCCTCATCTTTAACGTCCGAAAACAATTATGTTTCATCCATCGATCATGAGAAGCGAACTTAAACACCTCTTTTCTTATACTTTTTATTTTTTCTGAGTTGATTAACTGTTGATTTTTTAATTTTGAGCTATTAAATGCTTCTGAATGGATTTAGAAACCATTGTGTTTATGTTATTATGATCATCCGTTTAGCTCCATTTTGTAGGGTATTCATAGGAAAGAAGCACATGTTATGGTGATTGTACTTGGTTTCCATCTTTTCTTGATTTTAGTGAATTTTTTATTTAATGTTTTGGGATTATTTATTTGATCTTTATGATTTTTGATGGGTTATTTGATTCAATTAACTTCATTGTTATTTTGGAGTTTTTTCCATGGATTCATTTTTGTTAAACCAGAAAAAATAGAGATCGATAATGTGTCTGAGTTAATTAATTATATTAAGAATTTTAGGTTCTAATATTTATTCAAAGAAAATTACAAAAATATAATTATAATTGAAGTCGGTGAAATTCTCCCTGAGGTACAAGTTTTGGATTCGAAAACAGTATTACGGATTTTGTTATGAAATTTACACCAACAAGGGTGTCTATGTTTATTTGTTTTTTTGCCTCTTTAAGACTAGATCAATTTAGGTACTGTAGCAATTAAAAAAAGATGTAATTTACGTTAATGCGGCTTCCTTACCTTTTGCTTCTATTATTTTCATTACAACTGTTTAATTTCTTTAATCTTGTTGCACAGTGCAAGAAGATTCGTAATAAGTTATTCGATTATAGGCATACTTGTCTTTATGTATTCTTGCTATTTGCAAAAGTTACAGGTCATATACATAGATACATCTGAATCAACTTATCAATAAAAGTGAAGATGCTTGGCAAGTGTTTTGAAAGGGGTTTTACATGTATATGGCTACATATTTTCTAGAGAGTTATATCCTGTGAAAGAACATTACTATGATTCTTCGCAAACTTAGTAAATCCATATGCTAATGCTAGTATTAACATGAAGGGCCTTTTTTTGCATTTGCCCCGGGCCTCCTCAGATTTGCTTGGACCGGCCCTGTATAAGAGCAATGACTTTGGCTGCTGTAGAGACCAAATAATATAATATCTACTATAATCGTCAAACCTTTTCATTTTCATATTAAAAATATCCTGATGAAAACCCTACTCCCAAAACTGAAACATCAACAGATATTGAAAATGATCATAGCATCCAAATCAGGAACTATAACATTCTACTTTCAAAGTACAACACTTTAATAAAGAAAAAAAGTAAAGAGTAAATTACACCAATCGTCCCTCGTACAAGTGTCAAAATACACGTTCAGTCCCTATTTTCAAAAATTGACTCGGATAGTCCCTGAATAATTTTTTTTTCACTCTCACCGTCCCTACAGACATAAAATGATTATTTTACCCTTAATAATTTCTTTTTCAATTTTTATTTATTTATTTATCATTTTTAAATTAAAAAGAAAAAAAATATATCGACACAAACCCACCCATCCCTCCCTTTCCCCAGATTCGTATCCCTCTCATTCATACCCATTCGTCTTCAACTCGATCGATCAAAAAACATCCCCCTCCGACGAACCTGAACCTTTCACCACCACCGCCTAATATGTTCATCGGCAGCCCTGAAGCCACTCCGGTGAGATCATGAAACCGAAGGTTCTACTTCCACCTCCGACAACCATCCGATTCCAGATTCTGATCTGGAAACCTTCATCATCTAAAACCGAATTTATCTAAGACACTCATTCCGAAACAAGATTTGCAGGTTCCTGGTGCATCATCGTTGCCCATCTCCTTCTCGATTTCATACTAAAAATGATGGTTTAAATAGATTCGAAGGTTTTGGTTTTATAAAAATCCCAAATCGACATCCCTTATTTTGTTTTCGATGCTTCAATCGGATTTCCAGAAGTTGATTATTTAATAGGGTTTCAAAACTTGATGAATAATATTGGAGGAATATGCTCTCTTATGACCGCTACATTAACTGGATCTTAGTGTTTGAATTAGCTTTGATGAATGAAGGAGGGTGCGGACTGTCGAATGGTTGTGACAGGTGGTGTAAAGTTTGATTGTGTCGACTGTGATGGGGATGACAATGAACATCGTACAACTGGTGAGGTGAGGGTAAAGGGCAAGGGGTGGCGGTGGTGCTCCATTTCCAGTAGTGGAGCAGATGATCGGTTATGGTGGTGGTTAAGTGTGATGGTTTCAATAGATTTGAATGTTTTGTTTCTGGTTTGATTTTCGAATTTAAGTTTAAGGTTTGATTTCTAGGTTTTCTTTTGATTTTGATTTATTTGAGATTTGAATTTCATTTGGATTTGATGTCACTGGTTAATGGTGGTGGTTTGACGATGGTTAGTGACGGTGGTTGCTAGAGGTAGACAAAATGTCGACTGGTGCTAGCTTGCAGGTGGTGGTTTTGCATATTTCCGGTGGTGGCGTAGATTTCCTGTGTGGTGGTGGTGATCAAGTGTTCTTCAACAGGTGTGTGTGTGTGTGTGTGTGTGTGTGTGTGTGTGTGTGTGTGTGTGTGTGTGTGTGTGTGTGTGTGTGTGAGAGAGAGAGAGAGAGAAATTTCCTGATAATAATAATAATAATAATAATAACTAGAAAGGTGACCCCGCGTTGCGGGGTGGGAAGGTGTCGTTTTTGTTTGGAAGTATAGTACAATGTTCTAATTGGTAGCTACAGTAAAGTATGTTGCTATTGTCTACGTTTCGCCCATTTACAAATACACAAATATGTTGTAGCACATTAGACTTTCAACTATACCAGATAAAGTATGTTGCTATTCTCTTTCGTCGAGCCCCGAGCTTGTGGTCCTCCTTTGAGTTTGGGTTCAATTGGATGAATCTGTCAAGTCAAGGTCAACGTACGTAGCAGCAAGGCTATATAGCACATTAGACTTTCAACTATACCAGATGTCTTTATCTAGAGACATATAACATTAGCATAATAGCATAAAAAACAGAAAGCAACAATTTAAACTGATTAAAAAAATTAGTTAATTATACCTTCATGTGTCCATCCATACCCGTCGCAGCTGCAACAATCCCCAAACCACCTTAAGACAGCTTCATGACAAGCTTTGTAGCATAGGCTCTAAGAACTCTCTTAAAGAATTGTCACCCAAAAATCACAGATTTTTTGATTATTATAATGAAAAAACACAATTTAAATCCCAAAATAAAAATCTTTAATATTCCTAAATGAAAATAGTAATAGCAGCAAGTATTATCACTTCAAATATCATAGTTTGTTTACTGTTTTAATTTTATAAAAGGTTTTTCTAATTTGTGAATATAACTTATATATTAATATGATATTCATGTCTAGGTTTCAATACTCATTTTAACAATTTAAATTTGTAATTATTTATCAAAAGGACATTATTACGCATAGCATTATAAATGAATACATAATTTTATAATTTGCATATTTAATTAAACCAAATACTAAATCAAATTCTAAGACCCAAAAAAGCAAAACCAATAATTCTTGTATATTCGGATAATAGGTAAGAGGATAAAAATAAAATTTATATTCTATAAATAAATGTGTCATCAATAAACAAACGAATAAAATAGAGAGTAAATGAAAGTTTTTAAACCTAGTCTCCAGGAAAATGATTGTATAAACCAATCAAACATGTTCAATAAATCATATCTAGATATAAAGGTAGGTATTTAACATGTGATTTCATATACAAATGAGTATTCAAAAATCCAATTTATCGTTCTCATAATGAACTCAAACATTATCAAAAACTTACATGTTAGATTGTAAGAGTAAAACCTTCTCGTACTTCAATAGAAATAATGAAGAATGTTCCTTAGGAAGAAGAGTTTCACATATAAGATTGAAAAAATACCTTGAAGAACAGAACCGCAACCACTGTAAACAGAGCATTCTAGAAGATCTAGTTACTTCATGATAATCGAGTCTTCCTGTAAATTAATACCCTGACTCTCAATGGATTCAGGCCTCCCTTATGTTGATGCTTTCTTACCACCAAAAAGAATTATCAATCTAACATTTATTTAGTTTGTAAAAAAATTAATAATATAGAATCATGAAAAGAAAACTTTGAGAGAATTTTATAAACAAAAAACTTGGCAGACATAAGTCCAAGAACAGACATTGAAGAACAGGTGATGAGGAGGAGGTGATCTTCCCATAAACATTTAGCAATGGCTACACAGCTCAAAAGAAATACCATCATCCTGCTCAAACTACACCAACTATGACTCACCCTTATGTGTTTTCTTAGCCAAACGCCTCATATCAACATCGAAATCAGCTAACATTATCATTTTATCTAATTCCTCAGTTCCACTAAAGCAGATTGAACGACACAGATCAATGGGGGATGAAAAAGAGACATAGGAGGTCAATCCATATCAGTTTCTTAACAAAACTATTACCTCTAAGGCGCTAACTAAAAGAAAGGAAATTAAGATTGAATTAAACCCGAGAGTATATACTTATTTTGGTTCACCAACCGTGAAGGGCGCCTAGGTTGACTAAGTCAACGGTGAAGGTGTAAATTACACGAAGTTGTTTAATGAAAATGTAGATGACAAGGTTGTGGATACAATCCAGTCATCCACGGTCAAATACAACAGTGTCAACAGATTGATTTCCAAATTACAAGCTTTTTAAGCCCTAATTTATAGCAGCCAAGGCAAAACTCCACAAAAACACGCAAATGGAGCAAATACACAAATAAAAAACGCTAGTGGGTTTGATAAAAATGTTACCTATTGATGCACAATCTCAGAGAAAGGGGAGAAACTGGAAGGAGGTGGAGCAAGGAAAGAGATGAACGTGAAGGGCTTGTTAGGAATAAACATGGATTTGTTGTTCCCCTGAAATGATCAAAAAACCAACATATTAAAAAAAATAAAGATTTCAACGTCATCGAATTCAACTCCAACATCAAATTTTCCAACATTCTTTGTGACATTTCAGTGAACACCTGGTGCCCAGCTCAGCCAAACCATAAGAATGTTAACTGAAGACCCATAGTATTCTCATTTTCAAGCTTCCAAAAGTCGACATATCTATGAGCCCCTAAAAAATCATTAGCCGAGAATCACCACAACCAAACCAACAAAGAGAAATTGAAATAAACGAAGATCAGAAAAACAGAAATAGGGTTGAAGGACCTTACCTCAAGCGATTGTGGATCTTTAGTCAACCAATCTTTGTGTGCATCTCGTTGCGTTGTTGCGACGGAGTAGAAAGTGCAGAGGAAATGAGGCCGATTCGACACGGATGGAGATATCGGATAAGGGAGGCGGTGGGGAGAATCTGATAAGGGGGAGTCGGCAGCGTTCGATTGTATGGGTCATGGTGAATAGAGATTGGAGGAAATATTGTTTGCCTCTCTCTTAATCGATTTCTGATGATGAATAGCACAACCAAAGAACGACCGGAATCAGAAATCGGCTTGCTGCCCACCATCTTTGATATTTCGATGGAGTTGAAGAATGGGAGGCGGTGGGTTTTTGGGAAAATAGGAATCGGTGCAGAGGATAACGTAGACAGAATGAAAACTAAATCCGACAGCAAACAGGGAAACAACACGTAGCAAGTAAGGGAAGGATCTGGAACTAAAAAGGAGCGGTGGATCCATAACCCACTAAACTTTTATTTATATATATATATTAATTACATTATTAAGGGACCAAACTGTAATTCAATAAAAGAAGCGGACCACTTCTGTCACATAATAAACAGGAACCAATTCTGCCAACTTCTAATGCAGTTTACTGTTAAAATTTTTCATAACTTTAATATATATATATATATATATATATATATATATATATAATAATAATAATAATAATAATCAAAAATGTAAAAAATAAATGAAAAATAAATTAAAAAGGGCATTATAGTCATTTTATGTCTCTCAAGGGATGAAACGTGTAAATTTAAACTAACAAGGGATGAAGCGTGAAACTTTTTACAATATAAGGGACGATCCGAGTTAATTTTTGAAAATATGGACTGAACGTGCATTTTCACACTTGCATGAGGGATGATTCGTGTAATTTACTCAAAAGTAAATAGATGCTAAAAATAAAAGATGATTTATAGGCGTTTTGTTACATTTTTGTGTTGGTAATATTATTTATTTAATTTTTTTCTTCTTTATTTTGTAGTTTCTTTGTGGTGATATTATGAATAGCTTGACTACAGGTTATTCTGCTCAATAAGTAATTATGTTCAAATATTGTAAATTTCACACTTTTTTTGTTGAAGGATTGGAGCCAAATTGGGATTGAGTTTCATTTAATATTGTGCAAAATGGTAATTAGGGATGCATGATTCTAACATTACATTTAAGATGTACTCAATTTTACCACTGGCATTTTCTTATTTACTTCCATAATCTCGTGCTCCATCATGACAATAATGTAGAAGACAAGAAATGTACTTGTACCAAATATCTTACATTTCAAAAGTCATTTTTAACTTAGGAACAACTTGTAGTATGATTGAAAAATTACAAGTTCAGAAGCAAACTTTAAACCTGTTATTTTGAGTCATGACTTAAATGAATGGCATATATGGAAAGAGAAGTTATAATCTACATTCTCAAAAACTTTGAAGCCCCTCAATAGTTCCAATTAATCACGCTCATATCAGTAATCAGTTTCCCTTCTCCTGAGTAATACATTTCTCATGGTTGATTATGTTGCCAAAAAGAAGGGCAAATAAGGAATGACATATTAGTTGGTGCTTATTAACGACCAAAATAAGGAATGTGGCAACAGGCAAAAGGGAAGACAACGAGTCTGAACAGTGACCATCCTAGGGAAGAAGAGAAGAACATAAAACAGTTAAAACTGTGAAGATTTCAGTTAAGGGCAAAATCGTCCGTTTTGATTTTATTTTCAATTTTGATGATTTTGGCAAAATATAAAAAATTATTATTAGATATTAAAACTATTAAAAACATAGATTTGGGCAAATCCGATATTTTAAAAGGTTAAGAAGGGAAAACATGATATTTAGAGTTTAGCTCGGGCAAATAGGATATTTAGACGTTTAATAAGGGCATATACGAAATTCTCCAAAAAGTTGAAACCATCAAAGTAAAATAGAAATAGTCCATTACAACCAAAAGTCCAAAATATGAAAACACCATTAAAAGTCAAAACATCAATCTTCAATCCTCATCCATGTGAATCTCTTCGACACTTTCTGGTTCATCAACAAACCAAAAAAGATTAGTATTGAGTTATAAATTTATAATTATGTAAAAATACTTACAAAGTTCTATTCCCGCCAATTTCCCTCCCATTTCTTCCACATATGTAGTTGTCAATCGGGGTGGAACGTAACGTATCCGATCCTCGGTGCAAATCAAAGCTTTCGCGGTCATGTCTGTAAGGGACTTTCTAGTTGCATCAATTATCCTCTTGTCAACACCAAGTTTCCACTAACTTAAAATCTGAAAATCCTCCACCATTTTTTCCATTACATTTGATAAATAAACCTACACCTCTGTTTTATTAACCCCTTGCCCACGTTGTGAAATCATCTTCCAAATCAACTCCATGCCCACTAACAAAATAACTAGGTGTCTTTACATAAGATGATATACCCTTTGTCTTTTCACATCTTTGTCTCTCATACATATAGTTGTTTACATGCTTTTATGTTCATTTTAAGGCCAAATTTCATAAAAATCACTTAAAGAAATTTCTTTTCTAGTTTAACCACTTTGATTTTGTTTTTGTTTTTCAAAAAAACCATTGTGAATTTTTTCCGGTATGGAATTGCAAAAAGCAATTGGAGGATTATTTTAGTTAAAGATTGGTTTTATAATAAAAAAAAATTAAAGTTTTAAACTTTTAATGGTTAAATCTAGGGATGAGTTTTAGAACCGGACCAGTTCGGAACCGGAACCGGTTTCCCTATATTATAAGAACCGGGAACCGGACCGCTGGTTCTAGCACAGGTTCCGGTTCCGGTCCCAGTTTTTCGGTTATTTTTCAAACTAGAACCGGTTAAAATGTTATAGATGATATGTTATCTTTCGGAACCTATAAATGATTCAATATTTAACCAAATTATGACTTTTTACATTCTAAATTGAAGTACAAACACTAAATTACATGATGAAAAAAGAATCAAGTAATTCTGACTTCATATGAGTGAGTTATGTGCATTTTAAAAGCGGGACAGATTCCAAAAAATAAAAACAAAATGCTGAAACAGAAAATACGCAGCATTGATATGCTGTCTTCCGAGGTCTATAACTGATTCAATATCTAACCAAAATATGTGTTTGTACAGTCTAAAATGAAGTACAAACACCAAATTACATGCTGGAAAAAAAATTAAGTAATTCTGACGTCATATGAATGAGTTATGCACATTTAAAAAAGCGGGACAGGTTTAGAAAAACAAAAAAAGTGCTGAAATATAAAAAACGCAGTATAAATATTCTTTCTTTCGGGGCATGTTTCTGATTCAATATCTAACCAAAATATATGTTTGTATAGTCAAAATAGAACTACAAGCTCCAAATAACATGTTGGAAAAAAAATCAAGTAATTCCGACTTCATATGAGTGAGTTATGCACATTTTAAAAAACGTGAAAAATATCAAACCGGTTCCGGTTTTTAGAACTGGGACCGGTTTTCATAAAAAATGAAGAACCGGTAACCGGACCTTATTACCAATTCCGGTTCGGTTCCGACGGTTCTAATGCTCATCCCTAAGTTAAATCATTAACCAAAAAAAATCTCCTTGAGTGGTTTAACCGAAAAAATTCTTAAACTATAGTGAACTTTATAGAATTCAAAGTGTTTTAAAAAAAAAAAAAAAAAAAAAAAAACTCTCAGAGGTTTAAACAAAAAAAAATCGATATTTAAACAGAAGAAATAGTTAAAAGTACAACATTTGTTTATGGAAATTGGCCGCATTTTAATGCATTTAGACAACTTTGAACTTGTTAGAGTCGTTTTCTTGACAAATAATATTTATCCATTTGTTTCGGTGTAAAATCTTTCAATGAGAATCAATAAATTACAATTCACATTTGATCTATTTCCACAACAATTAGTTGGCTTTCTAATATAGGCAATAATCAAATTTAGTACCAGTGACAATAAGTTTGAATATGACTAGACGTCCAAGTCAGCAATGAAACCGGTAAAATGTATGTTACATGTAGAAAATGGTTAAATCATCACTAAATTTTAGTTTGTGACTTATTCATAAATTATGATAAAATAATAAAGCTTTAATGGAACTAGGTAAGTAATTAAACCGGTAAACCGGAAAAAATGGGTCAAATCGTCATTTTTACCGGTAATTCATGTTTTTTTGTAAACAAATTTTAATTTGTGACTTTATTATAAATTAAGGTAAAATATTAAGATTTTTCTAGAGATTTTCCTTTTCTAAAGGTAAACAGAAAGCTATTACTGCATAAACTCGCAGGTTTGTTTTATTGAAGAAATATCACTCAAAAACTTCAATTGATCATATGAGTACAAGATCCTATCTCATTATATACTAAACAAAGCAAAATAGAATATAACTAGGATTCTCTTATAGGAACATCTACACTTTCCTAATATACGTTTCCTTATGACTCAAGGACTATACAACTTGGACAACACTCCAAGTAATTGTGATATGGACCAAACACGCATAACTTGCCATATTGGACTCAGATATTCACCAACAATCACCCCCTGAATTTCTGAGTCGAGGGTAATTCTTGCACGCCAAGCAACGCTCTCATCTCTGCGAACCTTATTCGAGCTAAGGCCTTCGTAAGAGGATCTGCTCGTTGCTTATCTCCCGAAACATGTTCAACAATCACTTGCTCGTTTTCCACACGCTCTCGAATGAAGTGGAATCGAGTGTGAATGTGTTTGCTTCTTCCATGAAAGACAGGATTCTTTGACAATGCAATTGTTGATTTGTTGTCTATGCGAATCAGCACCTTCTGTTTCTTCATTCCTGTCAACTCAGCTAACAACTCCCTTAACCAAACTGCCTGACACGCAGCTGCAGTAGCTGCCATGAACTCAGCTTCACACGAGGACAACGCTAATGTATCTTGCTTCTAGGAGCACCAAGTGATAGGTGAGTCACCAAGGTAGAAAACATGCCCTGTTGTACTTCTACCATCATCAACATCAACATTATGACTGCTATCACTGTAACCTATCAAGCTCATATTTTTACTTCGTTTATATATTATCCCAAAAGATGGAGTACCACGCAAGTAACGAAGAATTTGCTTAATAGCGTTTGCGTGAGATTTTCTCGGACTTTGCATATAACGGCTAACTACTCCAACCGAATATGCTAAATCTGGACAAGTGTGTAAGAGATATCGTAAACAACCCACTAATTTTCGATAATGGGTAGCTTCAACTTCTGGTTCATCTTCAACTTTAGACAAATTTAGTCCCGGCTCCATCAGACATTAAGTTGCATTATACTCTTGCATGCCTGCCTCTTTTAGACTCTTCATAGCATAACTCTCTTGCTTCACCTTTACACACCAATTTTCTTGCAATACTTCAATACCCAAGTAGCAAGTTAGTTCACCAAGGTCCGACATTTCAAACTGTAATGCCATTAGTCTCTTGAATTGGTTTATGAACTCTAAACTTGTTCCAGACACGAACAAATCATCTACATAAACTGCAACTATTATGTATTCTCCATTTGCAACCTTTCTATAAACCGCATTTTCTTGCATGCACCGTTTAAAACCCATATTTTTCAACGTGTAATTAAGCTTCAAATTCCATGCACGTGGAGATTGTCGGAGACCGTATAAAGATTTTTCCAATTTGTAGACTTTTGTTTCTTTACCTTGCTTCACGAAACCTTCTGGTTGGCACACATACACTTCTTCTTTTAAATCTCCATATAAAATGCCGTTTTTACGTCTAAGTGATGAATGTTCCATCCGTTCCCGGCCGCAAGAGCAATCAATAGTCTTATTGTCTCGAGTCGAGCTACCGACGCAAATACTTCATCAAAATCAATGCCTTGCTCTTGTACATAGCCTTTAGCGACTAGACGCGTTTTGTACCTTGTAATCGCTCCATTCATATTTCTTTTAATTTTATACAACCATCTTAACCCGATAGGTTTAACATCTTTAGGCGGAGGAACTAATTTCCAAGTATTATTCTTCTCGATGGAGTCAATTTCAGCCTTCATTGCATCGAGCCAATTCTTGTTCACTTTGGCTTCTTTAAAATTCTTTGGTTCTTCATCGAATGTCAACATTAAATGATCCACATCTAACTCGTAGTCATTTAATCTTCTTGGCAACACTGAAGTTCGAGTGGACCACCGACGTAGGACAAAACTTTCATCGTTATTTTGATCATCAATAGGTTGTGATGGGTTGCTATCATCGTTATAAGTGTCATTGGTTTGGTCGGTTTGGGCCGAATCAGTGAATTGCTCGGTTTCTGTTGCAGTTGGGATCGAACCACCATTATCTTGAGTTGCTTGACCATTACTCCACATGACCGTAAATGTACCCGGTCCATTTCCATCTTGATTTTTGGTTTCATTATTTCATTGCCATGTCCCTATTTTCATCATAAATTACATGGGCACTAATAATAATTTTATTTTTCCGCGGATTATATAACCGAGATCCTCCTGAATTAGGTTCCTTTCCAAAATATACCAACGGTCGTGACCTATCATCAAGCTTCTTCAAATGTTTTGAGACTACTCTTTCATATGCAACACAACCAAATACTTTCAAATCTTCAAGATTTGGTTTTTCACCATAAAATTTCTTGAATGGTGTAGCACCTATCAATGCTCGAGTAGGTGTACGATTTATGTTGAACGTTGCATGTCGTACCGCTCGCCCCAAAAGTGGTTTGGAATATCTTTTGCTTTCATTAGGCATCGTGTCATCTCGAGTAGAGTCCGATTTCTCCGTTCGACTATACCGTTTTGTTGAGGTGCATAAGGAGCCGTCAACATACGTGAAATCCCTTCTTCATCACAAAAACGGTTCAACTCAGTCGATGTGAATTCTCCACCTCTATCTGTATGTAAAGTCTTGATCTCTTTACCGGTTCGTTTTTCAATTGATAGCTTGAATCGTTTAATAATTTCGGATGAATCGCTTTTGTGCTTCAAAAGAAAAGACCACATATATCTAGAATAATCATCAATAAGAACTAAAATATAAATATTATCCGCTTGGGTGGGGGGATCAACCGGTCCACAAATATCTCCATGCACCATCTCGAGAATATTTGTAGCTCTATAATTAGCTTTCTTTGCAAACGACTGCTTTGTTTGTTTTCCAACCATGCAAGATTCACAAAGTTGGTCTTGATGTTGGATTGTCGGTACCACTTTAGCTAGCT